CTTTGGTGCTTTTTACCCTGTAAGTAAAGTAATATTCAGGCTGTGCAACTCTGAGATCAGGCTTTGTTGGGCGGCAGGTTTTATTGTCCATGGAGCCATTGACACCTGTCTCAGTCTGTATCTTCCATCTGACTGCATTCAAACCACAAACCTTTATGACGAATGACCGTAATACTTTTTTTCTGATCAATTGTTTGGTCATAAAACAATTGACAAACAGCTGTAAAAGACAGCTGTTTGTCTTTTACCTAGAAGCTTGACAGAGTGAAACAAATCAAATCATTCCACTTGTGTTCACTAGCAGCTCATAAGAGATTTTTTTCCACTGTGGATAAATTGCTGCCCCTGCTATTCATGAAACCAAGCCAAGTGCTAACATACCAGAGTCTATGTTGCTCTGGTACACCAAAACTAATTTCATGTATTACGGAATCTCTAAAACCTTGCATTACTTGCAATAACATTTTGCTGTATTTGTTTAATTAAAACCGTGGATGCTCTCCCCATAGGTTTTCTGTCCAGAGGGTCAAACAAGATAGAAGAACAGACGCATGAATAGATAGATGGATGTGCAAGGGTTGTGTACCTCATTTGTCCCTCTGTGCATATGTAGATACATGTTTGTTATTTTATTTAATTTTTCTTGACCCTGCATTATAGCAGAAATACTCCCTCAATCTTTAAACAGATTGCAGTGTATTCATTGTACCTTTGCAGCATTGCATCTTACTTATTACACACCTGTAGAATCCTTTTTTCTAAGGACCCGTTGCATCACTGCACAGTGATTCTTGAGAATAGGGACAAAACAGGTCCTATGGATAAAGCACTAAATTTGAGTAAAATATACACAAAATATATTTTTTTCAAATATCTGACTAAACTAACCTGGGTCATGTGAGCACAACAATGTATATTTTTCTTTTTTCTGGTGAATATTTTTTTTATTTTAAACATTGTAGTCGGTGGATGATGCCTGTAAAATCCCTTGTCCAGGAGCAGAATTCAACACATTATAATAGTTTAAAACAATTAAACAAATACTAAAATTATATATTATGACAATTAAGTATAAGTAGCCATATAAATAATTATAAAAGTATCGATAAATTGAATTAAAAATAATTTTTTAGATATTTTCCAACTCCGTTGAAATTTGTCCTTAGTTTTTGTCAACACCGTCAGACATGCAAAGAATGTAAAAAAAAATCAGGCATTATTGGGGGGCACCAGAACTTCTGAGGACCCCATGACGTCGTCTTTTATCTTCCTCTGCTAAGAGGGCTAGTTAGCTCTGGTTAGCTTATGTTATTCTTTAGTTTTTTCTTCCGTTTTATTCCTAAGTTGCTTGTCACAACCATGATGTGTCAACTCCATAAGTGACCATTTACAAAACTTTGATGACATTTTGTGAAATAAAAGCTTAATTTTGGTAAACTGTAAAGATTTCATGGACTCGTTGAGCTACAATATGGCCTCCTTCAGAGTAACATCATATAAATTGAGGTAGTTTGGCATTTCGTCAACTCCGTCAGATGTCAACTCCATCAGAGTTTTTCTGACTCTTTCAGTGATATTGTTGACAAATCTCACTTAAATGTGCAATTAATTCATTTTAATGTATTTTACATGAATTGCACTAGTTCACATGTATCAAGTTTTTCATTTTACTCACTAGTTTGTCACAACCTTCAATTCTGTGTCAACTCCGTCAGATGGACTTTTTGTTGTTTTTTGTTTTAAATAATATTTATTTTGTTTCTTGAGAAGCATTTGTCTGTAAAATGAGTAAAAATATCACTAATGGGATATTTTAAAAATCATTTTATATTTATTTTTGTCAGATGGCGATGACAAAGTTCTGGGTCAGGTCGATTAAAAATGTAATTTTTAAAAAAATGTTGCATACATAAGGTTGAGAAATAATTTTTTTTAAAAATGGGAAAATTAAAACCCATTTTGTCCCTATTTTCAAGAATCACTGCGCAGATAAATTATAGAAATGCACAAACCACAGTTTTAAAAGTAGAATCAGTTGGTGATGTGCCAAATAACTTTGGGAACATGACCAAGATCAGGAATATTTATACACCGTAAAATCCAATAGCTGCCCTCATTTGCAAAAAATAACTAACCTTTTAGCTACCAACAAAATGCACTTATGACTTATGTATGAAGTAACTATTTAGAAATGTCAGGAAATATCACCCACCCCCTCAAAATATGTACTCACAATAAAACATATATTATAACTAATACCTATGCATCTCAGAAATAAAATAAATAGGGATCCATGAAAAGTAACATGAGTAACTATAATAAAAAACATTTACAAAGTCAAAATATTAGTGAGTCCACATATGAGAAATTTCCTTTTATTTTTTTACTTTTTCTAAGAAATGTAATTGAGCAAAGTTCAATAACAAATGAATGAGGTTCACAGAAGAATTCATGAACAAACCAGGGTTGTTAAATAAATACAAGCAAAAAATTCTTATATTGATTTTATATATAGGAAAAGATACAACTATTTTGTCCATCAAGGTGGAAGGTTTCCTTCCGACTCTAACACTCTAAAATAAAATGCATTCACAGAATCACAATATCAACAATGTGTGTATAGAATAAAACACTTTACATGACATATGTAGATGTTGTCAATCACTTTGGTCAACTATTGTTATTGCACTGGGAATAAATGACTACTTATAGATGCCTGAGCACAGGAAGGCTCAGAAGTTCAAACTGATGAAAAAAGAAGATGGATGCTATCTTCTAAAGTATTCCTTGCTGTCTTCCATGTTCTTTCAGCAAACAGTTGAGACAGAGGTTTCTGTGGTTTCACCACTATTTTACCTGCTATTGAAACAATTAAAAGTTTGCCTTTTATTCTGCAGCTCATGTGACCATACCAGCCGAGGAGATGAAAAGTTAAATCACTCTCAAAAATTGTCTTGTAGACAACCTCTAGTTGGCTATCCCCAAGACCACTAAGGTTTCTTGAAAGATAGAATCTCTGTGAGCATTTCTTAAAAAATAGTGTTTTCAACAAAGGTGAGCTGACTGTCCAGGAATGACCCACGGTATTTTAAATGTGTTACTTTAAAGTCTTATGGTCTTTTAATTAACTTTACATCCTTAAGAAAATAAAAAATAAAGTATTGTGTTTTATTAGAGAAATAATATTTTATGGTCCCAGTAATAAAAAATACTTTGTGGTATCCTGATATAGTGATGTAGTTATGTTAGTTGTGTTACCAACCCCACGCTATTCGAGGTAGTAGACATACCAGACCATTGGTGTACTTGGCCCTCGAGAGCCAGCATTCTGCATGTTTTAGTTCTCTCCCTGGTTTGACAGACCTGGATCCAATGATGGCTCATTAGAAGGCCTACTGTTGTCCAGATGAACACAGAGGTATTTATGTTCCTCAGCCACCTCCACTACTCCTCCCATGATGGAAATAGGGTTTGAGGTAACCTCGTTTCTCTTGAAACCTACAATCATTTCCTTTGTTTTGTTCACATTCAAGATGAGATTATTGTTCCCACACAATGCCACAAAATGGACCACCAGATCTCGGATACATCCGGAAACTGCAGAGTCATCTGAGTTTTTCTGTAGATGACAGAAACCAGACTTGTACTGAACTCTGAAGAGTAGAAAGTGAAAAGGAATGGTGAAAGTACAGTCCCCGGTGGTGCTCCTGTGTTGCTGACCACCTGGTTAGGCACACAGTCCTTCAGCCTCACAAACTGTGGTCTGTTTGTGAGGTAATCATAGATCCGGGTGATTGGTGAGGCCTCCCCTGTGTCCTCTATAGTTTCTGACTAAGCAGATCAGGTTGATTTGTGTTATTATGTACAGGATAAACCAAAGAACATTATCCTCACAGTCCTGCCTGCTTTGTCCAGATGACAGTGGATTTGTTGGAGCAGGTGTATGACGGTGTCTTCAACTTAACAGCAATAAGCAAACTGGAGGGGTATCTTGGCATATACTTTTTGACTCTCTCCTGGACCTTCATAATGTGAAATGTCAAAGGAATAGGTCTATAGTTGTTGATTACTGATGAGTTACTTTTCTTTAGCCCATCAGCAGCATTTAGCCATGATTAATAATTTCACAAATATTTCATCAACAAAACCTATTTTTAACTGTAAGTATACTTTGATTATTTATGTTGTTTAACATTAGTAATTTATTTCTTTTATGCTTCACACCATAAAATGGGCATATAAGACACAAATATATTCAATGCAGATGTCTGACCATATGATCATCTTTAGCACTCTACCGCAAATTTAGAGTAAAAACACTGGAGAAAAAAGTTACTGAACCAGGCTGTTATACCAGGGGTGGCAAGTGCTATGCTATGCTTTGGATTCAGTGAAGTTGTGTACAGCAGTAAGGATTGATCATGGACAGCAATTTTTGATTTGATTGATGTATACAGCACTTACTTTATTTTAAAGTGTAGCATCACTTTATTTTTAAAACTTCCAGTGATAATTTAGTCAGTTTAATGAAATCACAGGATTGTAGAAGAATGCATTGTTTATTTAAGGTATCAACATTTGTTGAGTCTTTTAAGACACATTGTCTTAAAATTAGAAAGTAAATAGCAATGTAACAACAGTTTTCTCAGACAATACAACCATCCAAATACTTATAGGAATAAAAGGAGTTTGGGGCTTAACGTGTACAACAAAACTTCATCATTTAAAAAATAAATATTTACATTTGATGCCCATTTAAATGTAACATGGATGCTGGTGAGAGATAAATAGTTGTCCATTTTAAAGGGCAATTCTGGATATTCTTTAGGATGTAAATTACATTACATACAAGAACAAATCCAAATAGACATGTCAGTAGAATTATATTTACTAACAGTTACCTTCTTATATGAAATGTCCTTAGAATAAGAAAATATCTGATAGATTTGGGATCTCTTTACACATGCTGACTGACAGAAGCTTGAACATGTTTGAAAGTAGTTTTTTTTTTTTTGCTGCATTAAATTCCCCAAATCAAACACAATCAGTCAATTTTATCTTTAACTCTGTCTATTTGTGAATAGTTTGGAAGATATTTATTCAGCAGCATGAGATAATGATGGCCAGGTCTCAGGAAGCAAAGTAGGAGCTGTGCATGGAGTAAAGGCTGTCTATTGGGTTTCCTGTTTGTGCCTGTTGGAAGCCTCCACCTGGAAAGGCAACAAAGGACTCACTTACACTTGTCATAGAGGTGTAACTCTCATTGTCATGGAAAATGGAATCCATACCTAGGCAAAGGAGAAATAACACAGAAAAGTGAAAAATAAAGCAAGACAGCATGTACAGCACCCCAAAATAGCAAACACTTTATTTTCTTTATTTTGACAATTCAATATTAAATGTGTTTTAGCTACAAAATAGTAATGGTGGAGAAGTTGTCTTCCATCAGAACTCTGGGATTTCATGCTGCATGTGGAACTAACCTTAGCAAGTCACTGTAAACCTTGCCCTCAATATTCTAATGAGTGAGTGAAGGAAGAAATGCAGCATCTGCAAAAGCACAGTGCAAATACATACAGATAAACTAGACCAGCACCTACATAAAACACATGTTGGTAATACTCTCTGTGTTTTTACAAAGTACAGTACAATTGGATGGTTTGGTTAGAGCTAAGTCACAGTATTGTGTTAAAGGTTGTTGATTTATTGATTTGTAGGAGATCAATCACATCTCTTCATAGAAAGCATTAAAACTGCCGTGTATAACTTTCATAATGAATGTTTTTCTCATATTTGTTAAAACTGTCGTGACGGACTAGAATGAGACAGATAATCTGTGAAAAAAATCAACCTCCTCCCAGTGCTGTGATTCCAAACTGCAGAAAAGCACCGTTCCACACCAGAAACAACCAATCAGAACCAGGAAGTGTCTCAACACTGTAAATTATGCTTGTGTACGGGCTGCACAATGTGCTAATGGCAGAGAAACAACTTATAGTTCCAGGAAAATTGTGTATTCGCCATCATTGGTGGCCATGCTAACTAGGTGAACTTCAAATAGGTTCATGAGAAAATAACATTACATGAAAATACAACATCTCAAGACAGGAAGGTAAAGATTGGTCACAAATAAGTTATCTAAATGCAAGAAAAAACCTTCCAAATTGGCTAAGTCAATGTATTGGAGAAGCCATACCAAAGACCATAGAATATTTGAGGGTTGCACTAAAAATGTGTCAGAAAAATCTTTTACACCAGATTTGTCAGAAGGAGTGGACCAAAATTTCAGCAAACTTCTACAAGCTTCATATGAACCTTGTAGAAAGATAACCAGAAAATTTGACTTAAATCAGGTTGTTCAAAAGTAATTATAACGCATGTTAGGGAAAATTAAGTTAATTTTTGAAAAGAAAGATGGAAAAAATGTCTCTTGAAATTTAAAGAAATCAGAAAAATGCAGAATAAGAACTTTAAAATATCTTGAACATGATGCTAACCGTAGGGATTCATGTGATCACCAGGCATTTGAGGTGGCGTGAGGCCCTGCTGGAGGCAGTCTATGTTGTACCCACAATGCTCTATAGTCACCAGCTGGGGCAGGGTTGGAGGCAGAGACCCTGAGAAGTTGCTGAGCAGACCATCCATACAGCCAGATATTACTTCTGAAAAAGTGAAAAGCAAATAGTCAAAACAGTTTTCTCAGCTCAACTTTTGTTCACACATTGTGCGGTCGTTTTATGAATATGAAAACCCATTCCTAAATATGGGTTATATTTTTATAGTTCATGCTCTACATTTAATTCCCTTACTGGAGTTCTTTTTTACCCTCAAGTTGATTTCTTGATTTCTTTAAAGCAAGAGCTGTTTTGCCTTAAAGCTGCAATGTAACTTTTATAAAAATATATGCTTTTTATTTGTTAAAATTGCAGTCATGACAGCATAATGTGAGACAAGTAATCTGTATATAAAAAAACCTCTTCAACCTCCTTCTAGTGCTACTATTGCAATCTGCAAAAATGTATCTTTCTTGTGTCAAAGCCAGGAGGAAGGTCTTAGCGCTAAATGTAAAAGAAAAAAAAAAGAGCTGCTAAATGTGCTAATGGCAGAGAAAAATTTGCCACAACAGGAAAACTATATTTCTTCCATGATAACTAGTCTGAGCATTTGTGGCAAGCTTTGTTATCAGGAAGAAGCTGTAGCACAGCAGAAGAAAATGGGTAGGAGGTGAGCAGCTCATACACAAGCCTGATCAACAGAGCTAATGTGACAGCTCCTTTTACCCATCCGATCATGCACACAGTCGAGGCCAGTCAGTTGGATTTCATGACATTTATTAACAGCGCCCTACACAGTGGTTGAGAAAACACAAATGGCGTAGTGAGCCTCCCGACTGGTTAACCTATCGCTCACAGCAGAGCACTGAACAGACTGCGCAATCCGCAAACAGTTATTACAGTGAATCTCGACAACATATTTTTTGTGACGTGATCGTATAATGGTTTCAAGAATACATTTTTAAAATTAATTGAAGACAATTTATTTTTGTTTTTTGAAATAACAAATTAGAAAAATAAATACAAACAGCGGTCAAAATTAATTATTAATTTACGAAAGAGCACCCTCTGGTGGTTCACAGAAAATAAGATGACCACGTCATGTCATCATAGAAACACCTAACAAACAAACTTACAGACTGGCAAACATAACTGACAAACTGACAAACATAACAGACAAACTGACAAATATAACAGACAAACATAACTGACAACATAAATTACTGACATTTAATGTAACAATTACCTGAAATTAGCGGTTGAGAAAACACAAATGGCGTAGTGAGCCTATCACCTATCACTCTGTGTAATGCAACAAAGATCCAAGTTAACCCTTGAACACAACCTCCAACACCACTCAGAAGATAATCGGATTTGATGACTCACCATCAGTGATGGCATAGTTACTTTGAAAAAGTAACTTTAATTGGATTACTGATTACTCCTTGAAAAAGTGACTTAGTTAGATTACTGATTATTTGATTTAGAAAGTAACTAAGTTACATTAAAAGTAACTTTTTTAGTTATTTTCAGCAACTAAAAAAGTTGCTGAAAGTAACTGTGGTAAGTAAGTACTTAATTGCAAGTTATTTTATAATGTTAACATCAACAATGTGTCTCCACTTATATGGTTGAACTGAAGGGGAGATTGTTTAATGGTTACAACAGTACAAAAAAACTTTAGTAATTTGTGTGTGTTTTTGTG